TTAAATTGGAAAAGCATTAGTATATTTGCAGCCGCACCATTATAGAAACAAATATGTGTGAAACTTTGCAGAGAGTTACTGTAGAGAGAGAGAGAGAGAGAGAGAGAGAGAGAGAGAGTTATGAGATGTCATGTCAAAGCATGAATGCATTGATTCTAAAGCATTCTGCCTGAACCAAAATTTACATCAGTAAATTTTTCAATGGGTCAACTGTAGTACACGTTCAATTTATTATTTTTTACCTCTTGACAAAATATAATTTTCTTCTTCAGTTTTATTTTTAACTGTAGTTAGTTGAACACTAAAATATAAATTCAATTATTAATCTTTTTTTTCCTCCATTTATTTTTGGTCAAAGTTCATGTGGTTTTTTTTGGGGCTTTTACAAATTCATACATTCTTGATTAAATTAAATTAAAAAAAAAAAGGACTTTAATTAAATTTTTTTTCTTGCATAATAGGATGGCTGCAGCCTCCAGAATCTATGTATATATTGTGGTGGCTACAAACTCAAATCTGCTGGTAAGCTGATCTCAAGAAAGTACAAGCTGCAAGCAACACAAACAACATCAACACACACACACACACACACACACACAAAAATATATATTAAAATTCAGTTTAGGGAGAAAAAAAATTACCTAGCAGACATGAAAGCCATGCCGAAGAATACAGCTTTCACGGCTTGTTTTTGTCCCGCGTAATCGAATGCCAGCGGCAGCATTTCATGCAACGTTAGAAAAGCCATCACACCTCCAACTGCAAAAATATAAAAACAAAAAAATTACTAATAAAAGAAATAGATTTTTTTTAATTTTATTTTTTATTTGTAAATTTTGTTTGTTCAGTTGAATCATAAAAGTGTATATATGTGTACCTGCTCCTAGAAGGCCTTCTAGGATTTCAGGGCTTACACTGCTGGGAAATAGGTAAGCTGCAAAATTATTTGATTGTAAGAATTACATTCTTGCCACAAATTCTGGATTCAAATTTCAATATTTGTATCTATATGATACGACGAGATGTAGAGGAACGCACCCACGATAATTACACCGAGGGGCTCGGCCAGACCAGAAAGGGTAGCCAACTTGAATGCTTGCCATTTGCTAATACAATGATACAAAATTGCAAAATATTACGATTATATTCAAACCACAACTTGACTTCGACTATCCTAGATATCTCGTGAAATCATTGCAAAAATTTAATTATCATTTCAATTAAGTTTATTTGGATTTTATTGAGCTGAAATAGCAGTCGGATAAATGGAAAGTAATAAACTTTTGCGCACGTTGAGTCGAATTGCTAAACGGTACCGGGAGAATTTTTTTACCTTTGTGTGGCAAAATAAACAGGAAGTGCAACAGCAACCCCCTGCATATTGATCGAATCTCGAAAACTCAGGTATAAAACTAAAATTGTACCTTCAATTTCAAAAGAATTTGGGATTTATATAACAGGGAACTACAAATAAATTATATATTTTTTTTATTTTTACCTCAGGTACGTTGTGTAGTGCAATAGCCAGTGCCAGGTTCAGACCAACTCGCAGACCCTGAAACGAAACTGCTTTTTATAAGTATTATAAGAGCAAAAGATCGAAGTTTTCTAATTAACACGCTAGAGAACTACGAAAGAGATTCTATTACGAATAGCGAGACGAACATATAACTAACTACCTTCATTGATCCAAGGAACACAGCCATTCCCTCGGGAAAATTGTGCAAGCTTATGCCTGAAACAAAGACACGTAATAATAATTAACCACAGTTGAGTTGATCGATTATGTAGATGTATATATACAAATTAATATAAAACCAGCTGACCGATGGCTGTGATGATTCCGCTATACAATACTTGTTTTCGGTGCTTTTTCATCATATCCTTTCCTCCATCATCCCCGGTTTTCTGTTCCGAGGCGCAAAATGCGTTTTAATTTAGATATTCCCGAAAGAAACTAACGTGAACTAGCAATCTTAAATATTGACCCATTAGTGAAAAACACACTGCATTAAACCTAACCTTTTTGCTATCATTAATTGGAGCTATAGTCGGTTCCGGGATAAAATAGGCGATAATTGCAAAGAAAAGTACGCCTGCAAAAAACTGCAGGGCCAATTAATCTTCAATATTAAACAAGAGTGTACACCACCGAGAGAGAGAGAGAGAGAGAGAGAGAGAGAGAGAGAGAGAGAGAGAGAGAGAGAGAGAGAGAGAGAGAGAGAGAGAGAGAAAGAGAGAGAGAGAGAGATACCCAAAGGTTCCCCTTTAAGAAGCCGATGGAGTTAATGGCATTATGAGCCAAATCAAAGAAGGATATGCTCAGCATAAGACCTGCGGCAAAACCCTGTTTGGCAAAGATACTATAATTCAAATTTCCTTCACAAAATCGTCATGGTTAAGTTGCATTTCACACTGTATCCTGAATACTACTACGACCGTAGTCCGTAGTTACCTGTAGAAGCCCAAGCATCTTTAAATTTGGAGTCTCGTTCATGACAACGAAAAGGGCACCTGTTGAAGAATGCAACGATGAAGCATGATGGCTAAATTTTAAAATCTTAAATCAAAACAGTGGTAACTAAATAAAATCCTATTCCTTCAAATCGGGATAGCAAAAAATACGAGATACGACTTCTTCACCGTCAGATAAGGATTTCCAAAATTGAGATAAAGTGATGTTAGAAAAGTGGATGATCGAACAAGAAAACAGAGTTGATCATGACTTGTCGTTTCTTCAAAGACTCGAATCACAGACTCAAGGAATACTAATAATAAATTAAATTGGTAAATACAGCTCCAAAATATAAAGAACTAACATTCTAATATAGTACGAAAGTACAAAAAATTGTCATTCAGGCAATTTACCATACACATAGAGTGCAAAAAATGTATTGGGTATTTAAATTTCAAATGAAGCAGCAAAGATATATCCAAACTATACAGCAAAAACCAAATATCAAAACCTAGATTCCAATTACAATTCTTGATCACAAAAAAAAAAAAAAAAACATAAATAAATACAAATAGATAAAGCTTACTTACCAATGGAGGTGCTGACACCACCAAGAAGTGAAAGAGCAAGAGCAACCAAAACCGGGGAGTCCGTAAAACCCATCTTCTCCAAATGCCCCCGACTCCCAAAAACTCGATACGAAATCGAATCAAACTGGGGTGAAATGGTATAACAGAAGGAACGATCGGTATTTATCAGAAAGAATGAAAGATATTTTGCGAGGGTTGATGAACTGACTAAGAAAACCACTAAAAGAAAGAGATAGAGAGATAGAATTCAAAATGAATGGGGCTGCTGGGGATTCCATTATGGCATGAAAAAGGGGCCCTTTTTATACTGTAGATTTTTTTTTTTAAAAAGGTGGGGGGAGGGAATATATTAGTGTGGAGGTAAAGAAAGAGATGGTTTGAGTTACAACAGTTTTAAAGAAATCCTTTGGGCGTTTGCTTTTACCAAGTTTACCTAAAATTCGCGCGCTTTTTTTTTTTTTTAACGCTAATGCCGTTTAGTGTATGTGTGACTGTAACGACATGTTCACGGCGTCGTTGTACGGCCGTTCCACTTTTATTAGATGGCCTAATTATTCTTTTACAAGGTCATCACAAAAATTTCCTAAAACTCTAATCTTGTTTATATTTCATTTTTATAATAAATTTAAAAGCAAATTAATACTTATAATAATAATAATAATAATAATAATAATAATAATAATAATAATAATAATAATAATAATAATAATAATAATAATAATAATAATAATTATTATTATTATTATTATTATTATTATTATTATTATTATTATTATTATCATTATTATTATTATTATTATTATTAACTAAAATAAAACTTAGGTCAACACAAAAAAAATAAAAAAATAAATGAAGTTAATGTTAATGTGATGACAGATCGATACAGTAACATTACTAATTAAAAAATTATCAACTATGGCTGACAATCAAAATTGATTAATTGGTAAAATTGATGTTACGATTGGTCAATTAGGTATGTTTAAGGGGTTGCGGATAGTTTTGTCCTAATTTTTTTTATATATAATTGCGTATCAAATCAATGGATATTTTCAAGAAACAAACTTTTAAAAAGATATAAATTATTTTGGAATTGAAAAAATAATTTAAATTTCATTTGAAAAGATTTTAGAAAAATTGCAAATTGGAATGTGAAATAAAGAAGCTTGTTCCGAAATTTACATAGAGCATCTTAGAAACAAAGTAGGGTTGTTCATGTGTCGGGTCGGTTGATTATCGGCCCGACCCGACCAACCGACTCTTACATATATATAAAATCATTATCGGTCCGACTATTGTGAGTTGGGTAATTGTTGGTAACCGACTTTGTCGATTGCCTTAACGGGTCGGTTGAAAATTATCGACCAATATCGGCCACATTAATTAAAAAAATTATGCTATTCCTCTATCAAAATTAAGCAACAAACATTTCAATATTTCATGCCCAAAATTAAATTTCAATATCACATATTATGAATTAAAATTCCAAAAATATATAAAATACTAAAATGAATCACTTTCAGCTATTCACACTTTCACAATACAAAATTTTGAAATGCTTAATTTTAATTTGAGAAACCGAAAAATCCATACCTTAGAGTTTAGACAGAACTAGAGAGGGCTAGAGTTAGATTTTGGAGGAAGCAATGGCGCATCGGCGACGATGGACTGATAGGGAGAGATGAGAGATACATCGTCGACTATGGTTGATAGAGAGAGAAAGAATAGTCGAAGAGAAGGGAAAATGAAGAGTAGAAACGCGAAGAGAAATATAAAAATAAAAATTAAAAAAATAAAAGTCGGTTGGTTGGGTAATATCGGCCAACCGACTTTTCAACAAATTAAAAACTATACCCGACTCAACCATACATATGTCGGTTAAAATTATCGGCCCGACCAAAACGAGTCGATTGGTGGACAATTATTGGCCCGAATAGTCGGGTAGATAATGGGTTGGTTGTCGGGTAAAACCAACCCGTGAACAACCCTAGAAACAATTTATCTAAATATAACAATATTCTTTTACATAAATATCCTTTGTTTACTTTATGTTGTATTATCCATTGGTTATAATATTAGCATCTTCAAGAAAGTTAGCCCCTATTCATTATCACTATGTTTTGAATCATGTATTGTGATTCAATTTTATTGCAGTGCTAGGTTTTGTAGATATTATCATATTACCTTCGGTGAAATACATTGAGTGGTTATGTACTATTAACTAATTTATTTGTAATCACAGACACATTCATGTGTATGTGTGCTTAGAAGGTGATTCTATAAATTTATAGTACAAAATTACCTGGTGTTTTTCACTTGATTTTTTTATAGCGCACACACCTAATGTTGCCATTCTTTTTTTTTCTTTTCTTTTCTTTCGGGTGTTAAATTGGGAGGTGTGCACGCGCGCATATGGAGTGTGAGAATGAGTCCAAGAGTACAAATAAACGATTTCTAGAAACTTCTATTTTCCTTATTTTTTGCAAAACCTATTGATTGTTTGTACGTGCGTGCATACGTGGGTGTGTAAATGTGCAATGCGTTTTGCATGTGCAGTGTGTTTTGTTAAGGTGTAATGTGTGAAGGTGAATGAATGTTTGGTTTTGGATATTGGCAAGGATTAGATGAGATTAAGGATAAGGTTGTGGAAGATTTACTTGGTTCAATAAGTTTGTGTAATTGCATTAGTATTTTAGTAGTTGAGATTATATTAATCGATTACTTCTAAAATAATAATTATTTAAAAAAAAATTATATATTAATAAATAAAATAATTTTAAAAAAACAATAAAAAAACTAAAAAGAAAATTAAAAAAAATTAAGGGGAAAAAGGTGGGCAACGGGGTAGGTGGAGAATCGAACGAGTGCTCAAACGGGGGTGGGGAGATAAGTATTTGATATTCAACCTCTTTGTATGTAAAAATACTTACTGAAAATTAAGTTATTAAAAAATAAATAACCTAAACATTCAATTACAAATTGACATGCAACATTTACAAATAAAATAAATAAAAAACTTCCAACTGATAATTAATTTGATAACTATAATTTGAATAGATATCGCAAATATCAAATGGGTATTTGATAACTTAATTTTTGTACGTTTACGATTGGAGATGCTCGTATGGGCAAAATAGTCCCAGACGAATCGAAACTTTTAAAGGTAGGTGAGACTGGGTAGCTTCGAAATAGCCATCGAAGCAATTAACTCGTTGCCCAATATCAACTTGTTATGAGTCAATTGACAATTATTAATTTGCTTCACACATGTACAATGTTAACTCTTATCACATATGTACAACGTTAACTCTTATGTGGCTGTGGATACTTTTATCATCAAGAAAAGAAAGAAAAGGAAAGAAAAAAAACATTATTTTGAGGTTGTCTGTTCTATAAAAGGAGAGCAGCAATGGCAACAATACTTGCATGTGCAAAAAAGGAAAAAAAAAAAAAAAAAAAGAAAAGAAAAGAAAATGACAACATCGGCAGCCGAAATTGCTACTGCTTCTTCGGATGTTTTCGAAACGGGAAATTACGAAGTGACGGATATAAATGTGGGGAGTGGAGATGCGACAAAACCACCAACGGATCTATTCATCGTTTCCCCCGTTACGAAGGGCACATACCCTGTCCTTCTCTTCTGCCATGGTTTCTATATTCCCAACACTTGCTACACCACTCTCCTACACCACATTGCTTCCCATGGCTACATCGTCGTTGCTCCTAAGGTACATATATATACATTTATTTATTTCTATGTATAGCCTTCAAACACTAGGATATGATTATACACTCGATGAAATACACACCATGCGCGTGTGTGTTTTTTCCACTGCACACCTTTCCACACACCCATGTGTATGTGTGTTTTATCAGAAGAACAAAACAAAATCTCCGTTTATTACAAGAGATTGCTAGAATCGAGACATAGTTCTCTTCTTAAAGCGCACTTTTGTTTTCTTTCTAAATCTGTCGATTAAACTAATAATCTTGGTTTTGTTCGACTATAGTTCTACGGCCTCATAATCATTTCCATCGCCAAGGGAGTCAACAAAGCATCCTTAGTGACAGAGTGGCTATCCACGGGTCTCTCCTCTGTGCTCCCCGAAAACGTGAACGGAGACCTCGAAAATCTCGCCCTCTCAGGCCACAGCAGGGGTGGTAAGACCGCTTTCGCCCTCGCATTAGCAAGCACCGCACCGCCGCAAAAATTCAAGGCGGTAATCGGAATCGACCCAGTGGCGGGCTCTGGCCCATCCATGCGGTCCGCCCCGAAGATCCTCGAGTACATACCTCGATCTTTCGGCATCACGACACCCGTGGCGGTGGTTGGCACTGGCTACGGCAATCAACGGCTAGGATTGATCCCGCCGTTTGCCCCAAACGGAGTTAACCACTCCGAGTTTTTCAACGAGAGCAAACCGCCCGTTTGTTACTTTCTTGCCAAGGATTATGGGCACTGTGATATGTTGGATGATTGGATAGCGAAGTTAGCGAGTTTCGTATGTAAGAGTGGGGGAGGTGATAGGGATCTAATGAGGAGAGGTGTAGGTGGTATTGTTGTCGCGTTTCTTAGGTGTTATCTAGGGGGTGACGGTGATCTAAATGGTATTGTGGGTGATCCTAGCGTTGCTCCTATAACTTTTGACCCGGTTATTTACGTCAAGGAGCAAAAAAAAAAAAAAATAACAATATGGTGTTATGTTATTGTGCTCAAGGATGTTGTACTTACTACCTTGTGATAATTAAATAAAGAATGTTGTACCTTGTGATAATCAAGCTTATGTTTTTCTCTACGTGTGTGCTCGAAATTCATTAAGCAAAATCTCGTTATCTCCATGGCTCAAATTGAAATATTCGCTTAAGCTGACTTCTACTGTTTTCTTGTATAGCCAATTTCCATATATACACTCCTAATATGTATTCCAATCAGAAATATGCCACAATGAACTGAAATTACCAAAAGTTAACATTCTATAAAACAGACAAAAGCCCATTTCGAACTCGACTCAACTGAGAAAAAAATGAAAGAATCGCAGGTACGAATAATTGTGCCCGTAAATTATGATCCATAACAAACGCAAAAATGCAACTTATTAATTACTTCGCTTAATACCAATAATCCAAAAACCCTAGTGATTCTCAGGGCATTGATTGATACTACTATTATTCAATAAGAACCACATTCCGAAATCTCACTATAACAACAAAAATATGATACTGCATCATCAATTAGTTTTCCTCTCACTTTTTTCTGCTCAAATTCGTATAAGAATCATACCGAACATCAATCTAAATCCACGGGAAAAGAATTCAAAAATCAAAACCGAAAAAAAAAATTAAAAAAATTACCTACGACGAACGTGCAATCAAGCCTTCACAGCCGGCTCGGCATCACCGCCAGCATTACTAGCATTGATCAATGCTTCCTCCTCGGTCTTCTTCTCTTCGAGCAACTTTTTGTTTTTCTCGATCGCATTCGCCACCTCGGCAGGCATGTACTTCTCATCGTGCTTCGCGAGAACATCAGTGGCGGCGAAATAGCACTCCAGACTCCTCGCCTTTTCGGAAACCCCCAATTTGCTACTGTTCCTCAGAGCGAACTCCTCCTTCCTCTTGATTTCCTCGTCGAACGGCTGAACGAAACCCTCGACAACCACCGAATGCCCCTCGCGGAAGAGATCCGGCAAACTGCCGTCGTATTTGACCAGAATATCCGTGATTAAATCCGTTATGACGAACTGAATCTCCGGCGAGGAAGGAATTTGGGCGACGCTGTTCTCGAGGACGAGGCCGCCGAGGCGGAATCTCGATTTGGATGGGTTGGTGGTGTACTTTTCTAGGGCTTCGGTTGGGGTGATGTAGAAGACTAATTGATCTTGGAATTGGTTGAGTACTATGATTATGAAGCCGGCGACGCAGCTGAAGGCTAGGGCGTAGGTCCAGAGGCGGCGGGTCTGGAGCTGCCGGGCGCGGGCGCCGATGTCGGGCTTGTTGGGTCGGGTCGGGCGAACGGACCGGGTTGATAGAAAGCGTAGAAATTGGTGTTGGGGGTGATTGGAGATTGCGGATCGGTATGAATTGAAGATGGGATGCGTAAGAGGGTGAGATTTTGGTAGGAGTATGGCGGTGGTGCTGAATTGGTGGGAGGGGAGGGGTGGTTGGTGGTGGTGGCGGAGGAGATGGCGCCGGAGAAAGCGCGAGGAGATTCTGGCGGCCATCGGAGGAAATTCTGGAAGGGTTTAAGGAACTTTTCAACTGCGTTTTGCACACACAGTCCACCTTATGCAACACGAGACGATGTAAACAGTTGGATTTTACAACTTATTACAATTATTTATCTATATAATATATAAAAGTTGAATTTCATAGCTAACTAGTACTTCACCCGTGCGTTGCACGGATATCAGTTTCAAAATGAGAAAAATAATAACATTTAAACGATTATCTCTTTATAACAACACCAATTCAAGTAAAACAAAATGGAAGGAAATAAAAAAAATTATCTCTTAATTCTGAATTGTAACATATGAAATTCAATTAAATATTACAAAGAAAAATACGCGAATGGCGCAAATTAAAGCACGATATGAAGATTAAGTGAAATAATTTAAAACATATGGTATAATTCTATTTCATGAAATGCAATCTACTACACCATGTGAATCCTCTACAAAATAACTAACTTAACAACAAACACAGTAGCATGGAGGTAACACAATAGATATTCAAATAACCTTCAAGTTTATCACTAACAACATTCAATTAGTGGTGATGCACATTAATCAAACAACAACACAACTTATAAATATTGCAAAAGAGATAAGATGTATACGCCAATACCAATAATAATACCAATATTGATATCAATAATGATACTAATAATGATAATAATACTAATACTAATACTAATACTAATTAATACTAATACTAATAATAATACTAATACTAATACTATTACTATTAATTAATACTAATACTAATAATAATACTAATATTGATAGTATTAATAATAGTAATACTGATATTGATATTGATATTAATACTAATACTGATACTCGTACTACGGGTACTCATATTGATACTAATTATAATACTAATACTAATACTAATACTAATACTAATACTAATACTAATACTAATACTAATACTAATACTAATACTAATACTAATATTAATACTAATACTAATACTAATACTAATACTAATACTAATATTACTATTAATACTAATACTAATATTACTATTAATACTAATACTAATACTAATACTAATACTAATACTAATACTAATACTATTACTAATACTAATACTAATACTGATACTGATACTGATACTAATACTAATAATAATACTAATACTTACTGATATTGATACAAATACTGATACTGATACTGGTATTGATACTGATACTGATATTGATACTGACACTGACACTGATACTGATACTGATACTGATATTGATACTGATGTTAATAATGATACTGATGTTGATAGTCATATTGATACTCATAGTAATATTAATATTAATATTAATACTGATACTCATACTAATACTGATACTAATATTGTTACTCATACTGATACAATGCTGATAAAAATACTAATACTAATACTAATATTATACTAATAATAATGATATTAATATTAATACTGATACTGATATTGTTACTGATACTGATATTGATATTAATATTGATACTCATACTGTTACTGATACTGAAACTGATACCGATACTGATACTCATAGTGATATTGATATTGATACTGATACTGATACTGATACTTATACTGATACTGGTACTGATATCGATACTAATATTGATACGGATACTTATACTGATATTAATACTAATATTAGTACTAATACTTATACTATTACTAATAGTAATATTAATACTACTATTGATACTTATACAATTACTAATACTATGCTAAAACTAATTTTAATGCTAATGATCTAATGCTAATGATACATAACACATATACATATACTGATACTGATACCGATACCGATATTGATACCGATACTGATATTGATACCGATACCGATACTGATACTGATACTGATACTGATACTGATACTGATACTGATATTGATACTATTGATACTGATACTGATCGATATTGATACCGAAACTAATAATGATACTGATACTGGTACTCATATTGGTACTGACATATATTGTGGTACTGATACTGATACTGATACTGATACTTATAATGATACCGATAATAATATGATACAG